AGGCTTATACACTATCACGTTATCCACATGTCTTTGAAGAATGAATGCCAAACTTCACATTTCTAACTCGAACTTTGAGTTCCACTTTTTCCATATTCTTCTTCCCTTAGAGATTCATATTTAAAAACCAACAACAAAGATTACCCCTGATCCCATGTCTTCTCCTATATGCTGTTTATAACCCATCAGGAAGATTTAGTGGCTCTATCTTTAAAATCTATGTGAATAAATCCAAATTCATTCTTACTACTTTTCCCTCTGCATCTGTATTCCAGGTCACCATGACCTCCTTTGCCTCATCTCCCTAGTTCTGAGTGAGTCTGTTGGCCCAACAGCCTCCTTTCTTAAAAGCTTAGCATACTCCTTTCCTAGGCAAACACTAGGCCCATTTAGTAAAGGTGGTAAATAATTAGCCTCCACCCCCCTTTACCTTGGCATGGCACTCCTTTGGAAGAGCTATAACCATATAAGGCTGCAAGGTCTCCTCAACCTCCCAGTTATAAAGTCTCCCGAGACAATAGCTGGCACTTCTCTCTTGTGAAAAGGGGTCTTGCCATCCCTCTGCTGGCAATAAACCTTTTCTTTGCTCTTTGTACCTGCATGTTGGTGTGGTTTTCAGGCAAAGTCCAATTTACTCTAACGGAATCCTTCAAAGGTAGATTCCTGGCTTTCACAGAGTCACTCTTTAAAAGGTAGATTTCTTTCCAAACAAGTATTTGGCTTTTATCATACAGAGAATAAAATTCAAACTCCTTAATATAGCCTGTAAGTCTCTGAATGATCCAGGCCTTGCCCATCTCAGGGACTTCGTTATGAATATTTCTCCTGTTCAGTTATTCTAATTTACTCATACTAGCTTTCATGCAAATGCTGGGCCATATCTGGCTCAGGCCTTCCTATCTTTAGTCTTTCTACCTGGAACGCTTCTGAAGGGCTTTAAAGAGCTGTTTTCTTAAAGATCTCTCAGTCACCTTCTTGACCACTTTTGCTAACAAGTAAACAAATAGCCACTCTATACATTGATCTTTCTCTCTCTTTTTTTTCCACTGATTTTTTTTTTTTTTGGTTGGTCACAGGGCTTGAACTCTGGGCCTGGGCGCTGTCCCTGTGCTTTTCAGTTCAAGGCAAGTGCTCTACCACTTGAGCCACATCGCCACTTCCTCTCTCTCTCTCTCTCTCTTTTTGTCTTGGTGTGTTTGGCTCTCCATTACTTATGGGCACTGAAGTTGCTTCCTATGCTTATTTGCTTACTTTGTAAAATTCTGTGTCCTCTTCTAGTGCTTTAGTTACATGAATGTACACAGTCTACTTTTTTTAAAAAAAACTATAATCCTTAGGTTGAGGCCTTAGTGTTTAGAACAAAATAGGTGAACAGCATTTACTGAACAATAAGTGTATGTCAGACTGACCTATTATATTATAAATTATTATAAATTATACATAACTTACGTGATAAATAATGGTTTACAAAAGTACAATTCTCTAAGGCCAAAATCAGCTATCATAAAGCTACCAAGTAACGTAGATTCTTTGCTTCAATTCAATAATAAACATTAAATTCCACACATTAATGTTTTTTTTAATGTGGCATTACTCATGTTTTGGTGTCTGACTCCAAAATCGAGGTACTATTTCATTCATATCTGAGATTATACAGAAGGTAGTAATTATACCCAAATGAAACAATGACATTGAGACAGGAAAAGTTGCGTCCGTGGGGGAAAATTGTATGACAGGGCAAAACTTGCTCAGTGTGTAAGGACAAAGTGTAGGCTAGTGTGGTTAACTTTGAGCTGGTTGGAAAGGAGTGGTGGAGATATAAATGAGTGAGAATAGAAAGCCTTCACAAAGCAGTCAGGTGGGAGACGACTAGATACAAGGAGTGCTACAGCACTTTGAGGAAGAGCGGCGCTATGATAAACATGGCATTTGACTCCCATGACCTTGCATGCCTGGTGCAGGAAGAGCTAATGAACTGGGAGTGAATTTGGAGATTCGTGTTTGGACCTAGACATCATGTGAAGGGACTTGGATAGTAACATCAGACATCTCATTCCAACCATGTAAGAATTTGCCTTTTAAAAACTGAATGGGGAAGGGAAAACTCCATATATCTTTTTTGAAAGAAACTGATGTAGCCCTGGCTCCTTCTTGACTTCGTTTGAACAAATGGGAGAATTTCCATGTCTGACAGGAAGAAAGTTAAGTAATTTATCATGATTGAATTTATTCTGGAGGCAGAAAAAAGTGAACCAAGAAGAAAGGCACATTAATAATTTTTCTTTCTTTCTTTCCTTTGTAGCGACACTTTTTTTTTTCTTTTGCAAGGAGTAGGAGTGATGCTCTGTTCACAGTCAGCTCAAATTTCAGTTTCTAGTTTTTATATTTTAGATAGATCTTCTGAAATACTTCTTTGTGAAGTTGTATGGCTGACTAAGATTTGCTTTCAAATCATCTAAGGGCCTAGGGTGATGATGATGATTATGGATGAGCCAGAATTGCTGAAACAAGAAACTGGTCAAGTTATTTTCCTTTATCCTTGTATACATTTGCTGCTTTTCTTTTCTTTTTGTCAATTGTGGGGCTTGAACTCTGGGCCTGAACACTGTCCCTCAGCTCTTCAGCTCAAGGCTAGAGCTCTACCACTTGAGCCACAGCACCACTTCCGCCTTTTTCTGTTTATGTGGTGCTGAGGAATTGAACCCAGGGCTTCATGCATGCAAGGCAAGCACTCTGAGCTACCTTCCCAGCTACATTTGCAGCTTTTCATACTAAAAAAGTATCAACAATGGTAACAACAATAAATAGGAATCAAGCTGAGTTTTCATGATGCCTTCACATAAATGAACAAGCAAAATAAATAAAACCTCCCAAGTTCTAGAAAATAAGCTGACTCCTCTTTATATAGCCTGTGAGATTGTTTCCTTGGGATCTCATACTCAGGTGATATTAACTGATGTCTGCACAGCATGGAGAAAGGGAAGACCTTCAAAATTAACCGAGAATAAAAAGAATAATAAGAACACGGTAGACTGGGGTTGAGGTCTAGGTGTCCTTCCTATCCAGATACCCTCATAGGCTTTGGCGGGGTGGGCCTGATGGGTCTCCACTAAGTCCTAAAAAGTCTGGAAGGAATCAATATTTGCAGCTAATTCCTAGAGGTCATCCCTGCCTTCTGGCTTCTTATTAGTGGTCTCTCTTCCTTACCAACTTTACCCCCTCCCCTGTGTGAACCTTTGTCTCTTTCTCTGCAGTGATTTCTAGCCTGAAAAGGCCACTGCTTTTCAATTAAGGCCCCCTTGGCTTTATAGATATTTCCTTCACAGACTTTGCCTGGTATCATTTTGTCTAGTCATATGCTCTCCCACAGGTAATAACCTGTGTGGGAGGGAGATGTTCACTTGCAGACTCTTTGGAATTTGATTCATATTTCCAGCAGCATGGACAGAAGTAAAGCTTTATGGGCCACTGTAGATATGCACAGGGGGGTACTGCAATCCCTAACAACTAGTGTAGAAGGGTATGCGTCACTAATGTTGTGATAATACTGTAGTACATGCCGCCTTCAGCACTTGACCTGGCTTGACTTCGAGGGACCCCATTATACCAACCCTGCTATTGGGATGCCCCAGATGCTCACAGTAAACTCCGCTGGAAACTGGAAATTCAATGGATGGAACAGAGGATCTGAGGAAGGATCTCTACCTTCTCTGTGAGAAGGTAGAGATATTTTTTGCCTTTCGGTAGGTTTAATAGTGCTTGTGGGCTTGGAATATAGTCTATGTGATATTGAACGAACCGATGATGCCTCCTTCTCCTTACTAGGTCAATGGAGGTGACCTGCATTCCTATCTACCTATTGATGGCAGGTGTCATCAGAGGTGCTGTATAGTATTGGCCCACATTTGGTCAGAGGTGTTCTTACTCATATAGTTAAAAAGTAATACAATTGAATGTTTTTAGACAATGACAATACAACCCAATGGTTTAGGATGCGTCTTCAGCTTTGCTTTGGGAATGGCTCCTCATGTTCCCTGTGAACCAGCTGTGATCACAGTGTCAGGCTGTTGTACCGTGAGGCTAGATTCAATTTTTCAAGACAACTCTATTAGCTAGATTTTTATTTGGCCTCTGTTGAATCTGGTCATATGGTCATGCTGTTTGGTCGATGATGAAATGTTTCCCTTCTCTGTAGCCAAGTATTGTGGACTAGATACTTTCAGGGGCTTTGTTATCATGGGAAATGAGTTGAGCTACTACTATTGGATAATGATTGATAAAACCTTACTAATACACAATGATAAAACATAATAAAAAATCTAAAATAAGCTTATTGTAACCAATTGGCTCTTCTATGCAAGTGTGTGTGTGTGTGTGTGTGTGTGTGTGTGTGTGTGTGTGTGTGTGTACGTGTGAAAGAGAGAGAAAGACAGAGAGGCAGGCAGGCAGACAGAGAGAGACAGAGAGAGAAAAAGACAGATGGAGACAGAAATTGAGACAGACAGAGGGGATGGAGACAGAGAGAGACAGGCGAAGATGCTAGAGACAGACAGACAGACACACAAGACAGAGAGACCAAGAAACTCATAAGTGACAAATAAATGTCCTCCTAAGAGGAGATAAGGCAATAGATCCCAGGGGATTTACTCTAAAGAGGATGTCAATAATGAGTTCTTAATGGATGCCATGTTAGTCATTTATACAAATGCATGATAATGGCACATTATTTGTGTATTAGGAACACATCATGATTTCATACCGTATAACTATGAATGTGATATATCAAAAACTTCTTAATTTCCTCCTTGTGCTAAGCGATCATGGTTTGAAACAGAAATCAGCATGGTTCTATGTCTGGAATACCCATGGATGATACAAGTGTGATGTGAGGTGTAATGATTTCCCCCTTTTTCTTCCCCATTAGCTTTGCCTCTCCCGCAGTTATGCTATCCTTTGCATCAGTCTGGATTGCTTCGCCTGTGCGGAGACTTGCTTAGGAACTCCTCAGAGGCACATTGCTTCATGGAAGACAGCTGTTCTTCACTGCCTCAGACAGACTGGAGTTATATATAGTGACGATAATAAGAAATTGTCTACGCACACACGCACACCACATGGGGACCGGCTGATGAGAATGAGTGTTTTATGCATATGTAGTACTTCCCTTTGCATTGACAAACATCCAGCTAACTCCAGCCCTCAGCTCCAACAAGGGTCAAAAGATTCCCCTTCAACCTCCACGCCCCGCTTGCATTTTCTCAATTAATTCATCGACTGTGTAAACTCCCCTTCCAGTTCCATGTAGTAGGAAGCCCCATTTGGATCGGTGAGCTTTTAATTCTGTTTTTATTCTGTGACTATAAGACACATTCTAAATTTCATCTCTAAAACTGCAATATGTGTGAAATTGATATATATTCAAAGTTCAGCTATATGAAGCACCAGCAACTACAAAAAAGATGGAGATTTTGGCTTAAAAATATTGGTTACCTTTTTTTTTTGTCTTTTTGCTTGTAGCCATTTTATCTGGGGTGAGATAATACTTCATTGTGGTGTTGATCTGTATTTCCCTGATGATATAGAGCATTTTTCATATTATATTGGATATTTGTATGTCTTCTTTTGAGAGATGCTTATTCAGATCATTTTCCCATTTTAAAATCACATTATTTATGTTTCTTTTCTGTTAGAATGTAAAAGAGTAGAGCCACTATGGGACAGAATATGAATATTTCCCGAAAACAAGAAAAGAGAAGTATCCTGTGACCCAGCAAGCCCATCACTGGCTGTTCACCCAAAGAAAATGAAATCAATGCATCGAAAGATAGCTACACTTTCATATTTCTTGAAGGACTGTTCACAAAACCCAAGATGAATGAAAATATGTATCTGACTCTGTCTCTCTGTCTCTGTGTCTCTGTTTCTCTTTCTCTCCATCTCTCTTTCTGTCTCTCTGTCTCTGTCTCTCTCTCTCACACACACACACACACACAGAAATAGTCTTCAATCAGAATAAAAGACATCAAAACATAGATGGAACTGGAGGAAATAAGGAAATAAGCCGGGGACAAAGAGACAAATACCACATGACTTCACCTATACATGGAATTAAAAAAATTGTCGGAAAAAGAATGAGAACAGTGGTTACCATTGGGCAGGGAAGAGGAAAGCAACAGGCGGCTGGGAAGAGCCTGGGTAATGGGCACAAAGGCACATGGCAGGAGGGGCAAGTACAGATGTTTTCTTACATACAAGTTGGTTGTACTTAATATTATGTCATTTAATGAAAAACAGCTAAAGGGCATGATTCTTTTTTGGGGGGAGGGGGGGTCTGGTCATGGGCCTGAACTCTGGGCCTGGGCGCTGTCCCTCAGCTCTTCAGCTCAAGGCTAGTGCTCTACCATTTGAGCCACAGCGCCACTTCCGGCTTTTTTCTTTTTTCTTATGTGGTGCTGAGGAATCGAACCCAGGGCCTCATGCATGCGAGGCTAGCGCTCTACCACTGAGCCACCTTCCCAGCCCCAAGGGTAGGATTTTTAAATAAATAAATATATTTTTGGTGTTACTGGTAATTGAACAAGGGCCTTCCAACTTCCCAGGCAGGTACTCTACTGCTTGAGCCCCAGCTCCAACACTTTTTGCTCTGGTTATTTTTAATACAGAGTTTCACTCTTTGTCTGGGATGACCTGAACTGTGTGCCTCCTATTTACTCTCCTAATCATAGATGGGAAAACCAATATATGCTACCATGCCCAATTTCAATCTCCATCCTCCCAGGCTCAGCCTCCCATCTATCTGGGACAACAGGGTCATGAGTGGCAGGTCCAGCTATTAGTGGATATGGGATGTCATGAACTTTTTGTCCAGGCTTGCCTCAAACTGTGATCCTTCTGATATCTGCCTCCTAGTAGGGAAGCATAAGCCACTTTATCCAGAAGAAGAGAGGATTCTGAATGTTGTTATTACGAAGAAAAATTTTGGTGATGATGGATAACCTCGAACACATACACTATAAATGTACCAAAACAACACAGTGTGCCACAGAAAGGTGTACAATTATAGCAATAAAATGGGAAGAAAAATAGAACCATCTTATTGGCATACTTGATAGGAATAGGTCTTGTTTGAAGCTATTAACTCAAGTTAATTCACGGATTGGACAGCATTTGAAAAAGTACAAAAAGCCATCAAGTTACCCTACCTGAAATTTTTATATATATATAAATCTCACTTTAAGCTACCTTCCCATGTGCCATATATTTACCGGAGTCAATGTAGTAAGACCCCTTAGAGATAGTGACAAATGAGCCCTTACTGTTGTATGGAACATCTCTAAAGCAGTTGCTCACTCTGGCCTTTCACTAGCAATCTATTTTGGAGTTGACAGTAGGACTAAAGGGCCTGATATTTCCCTGATGGAAAGTATTCTTCTATCTCTGGGTTTATTTTTATTTGCAGGTCTTCATATGCTTGCTGTTTTTTTCTTAGGTTCATATATTTCCCTACTAACGTTTCATTGACATGGAAAATCTTTTTCATTTTGTTCATCAGCATACTGAATGACAGCATCATTTTTTTTTAGTTTTTTAATTTGCCTAACATTTTATCAAACAGTATAAATTGAGGCTACAATAGCTCCATTTCCATTGGATCCATTATAGGATTAATTGGAAAAAAAAATCTTTCCCTAAAGGGGGCGTGCATATGGTGTCTGCAGTCAGGGATAGCCATACTGGTCACGTTGCATATGGTACCCAAAGATGATGTGGGCGCTCACTGAATGGGAAGGAGATCTCCCAGCTAATTTTTCTTCATAGTCTTCTGGACGGCCTTTCTCCTTCCTGTGTATCTAGCAGGGATCTGGACACTCAGGTGTTTTCTACAGACATAATGTTGCACAGATTATCCTGGCTGATTTTGTTATGCTAGCTAGCATGTCTGGGCCTGTTTGCTTACCTTGAAATAGCTATAGGAGTATTAGGAAAAGCTTGGGATTAGGCCACCTCAGGTTCTACTTTGAGTTTTCCTCTGTCTCCTGTATTACCTGGAGTAATTTCCATCCTCTCAGAGATATATGAAGTGAGATAGTTGTTGACCTGTAGCATATCAGAAACTTCTATTGCTCTTCTGCTGTCCTGTCTTCTGCTCCACCTCCCTGCCACTGAATGGGAGTTTAGTGAAGTAATACGAGAGAACGTACTTGGTACACTTGGCAAATTGTTTCATAGTGTTCAGATGGGTTTAGGTGGTGTACATAATTAACAGTATATTTTGATGAGCTAACCATGACTGACTTTGGCTAAATCAAGGCAACACTCACCTCTGGCTTGTCCTGAGGACTTTTAGAAGTGACTCAAATGTGGGTCATATTTTTGTGCATACTTTATTCTTTTCTATTTTTGTTTTTCAATGATCCTGAATAATGTATGAATTTCATGGTGTGAAATTAAACTTGAGTGACTCAAAATTAGACCTTTTTATGCAGCTTCAATTGCAACTGTTGAGAGAGCTGAGTTTGTCAAATGATGCCTGTAGATACAATGGTAAAAATGGAAGCCTACTAGGTCTTATTAATTTTCACCACTGAGCTGTTGGGCTGACTGATCTCTATTTGCACCCTCCCCAATTTGCCCTCTAGCATTCTCTGTCCCCCTATTTGCCCTAGAAGGTAAAGATCAGGTAACAACCGAGGCAGAAATTGGAGGGCTACAGCCACCAGCCAGCAAATCCCATGACTTGCCAGCCACAGAGAAGCTAGGACGAGGCAAGGGAGGACTCCACACAGTTTCAGAGTTGTGAGAATCAACTATCCGGTGTGGTCTTTTGCATGACAGCCGTAGGAAAATAAAATTACAGAACTTCTCTATATTCTCTTGCTTGTCCTCCACGCAGTGAAATACACTAAGGGCAGTATAGTGTATTCAGGAGTAAGGCCTACATGGGTAAGTTGTTTGTAGCCAACCCCGTGAACAATAAAGTTAGGCCAAAGGGTGTTCTCTGTAGCCTGATTCCAAACCAAATCAACCATTATTTGTTTTTCTTTCCTTTCCCAGAGAAGAATTATTGAGGTAAGATCTAAACATTTGCCATAATTACTGTTGAACAAAAACTACTGTACCCATGTAAACTTCAATTTAGCATGCTCCTTTTGCATATCTCTAAATGACAAATGCATTCTACATGGACTCCCAGATACACCGTTGGCCTGCAGCCCACATACATTCTGCTGCTGAGGTACATTCTCAAGCCTCAGAATGGATCCAGGTCTGGTCTATGTCTTCCACCCCCTTAATGTAACATACTTCTGGGCTTAAGAACAAATAGCAAGGCCACAGTGATGATCCAGCTGACATCATAAGGATTATTAAGATGATAAGTGGGTACTTGGCCTCCTATATGACCACTGGAGTTTCTATTTGTGTTTAAAAACTTGCATTATAAAGAGGGAAAAATCTAAAGTCTTCTAGGAAGGAGAGCAAAGATGGGTACTACTGTGATTTCTGAAATTTGTGAAACAGAATCTTGATGTGTCTCTACCAAGGATGTCCTGGCATTTAGATGATTTAGTATCAGTCCTGGGGCTTGAACTCAGAGCCTTGAACTCTTAGATTTTTTTTTCTTTGTCAGTGGTGGAGCTTGAACTCTGGGCTTGGGCACTGTTCTTCAGCTCTTCAGCTCAAGGCGAGTGCTCTACCACTTGAGCCACAGCACCACTTTCGGTTTTCTGAGTGGTTTATTGGAGATAAGAGTGTCATGGAGTCTCCAGTCTGGGCTGGCTTTGAACTGCAATCCTCAGATCTCAGCCTCATGAGTAGCTAGGATTACGGCATGAACCACTGATGCCCGGCCTTACTTAATTTTTTTTTTTTGCTCAAGAAATATTTTATATCTCAATTCTGGAGTCTAAAAGCACAAACTCAAGATGTTGGAATGGTTGGTCCTTGTTAGAGAGGCTCTGCGGGCTCTATCTCATGGCTCTTTCCTACATTTTAGGAGTTCCTACAATCTTTGGCTTTCTTTGGCTTGGAGACATGTCACTACAATCTATGGCTTCACCTTCACATGCCTTCTCTTCTGTGCACCATTCTCTCTTTCTTATAAGGTGAAATCACTGGACTAAAGACTAACCTGGTTAGTTCAAGATGGTCCCATCCCAGTACCCTTCACTGAATTAACATTTACAGGGACTCTGGGACAAATGTTTTGGGAAGCTGTAAATCAACCCAATGATTATTTCCCATGTTATTTTGTACCTTATTAATATTATTTTATTATCAGCATGATTTTGTATTCAAACCTTCATAAGTGAAAAATTATGCAGTCATTTTCTTTTTAAGCCATGTTTGTTATTCATCTCATTTTATGCTGATTACTCAAAGTATCAAAGGTAATGATGGTGTTTGAGGAGAGGAGTGTTAAAAGTATGTCCTCCTATGGGATATGAATTGTTCACGGGCTGAGAAGCCAAAGGCACAAAAACAGAAAGGGAAGTGCAGAGAGGAAAAAGGAGAATGATCACAGCACTGAAGAATTCGAGGGAAAGGTGGGCAAGTGTGCAGGCTTGATGGTCTGGGCTTCAGCCTGATTTATAACCTGGATTATGAATTCAGATCTCCAATATTCTGTCACCAAACAGTATCTGAAAAATGTGAATGGCTCTACATACAAGTGTAGAGACTTTCCAGAAGAAGTGTGTGTATATGTGTGTGTGTGTGTGTGTGTGTGTGTGTGTGTGTGTGTGTGTATGCATATGGCTGTAACATACTCAATGCATGTACATAAAACATATATGAACACATACATATATGAATACATTTGACCTTCTGTATTTATGGGGTAGAAATCCATTCATTCAGCCAAACTCAAATAGAAAGCATTTAAAAAATTGTATCTGGGCTGGGAAGGGGGCTCAGTGGTAGAGTGCTTGCCTCACATGCATGAGGCCCTAGGTTCGATTCCTCAGCACCATATAAATAGGAGAAGTCAGAAGTGGCGCTGTGGCTCAAGTATAGAGCTCTAGCCTTGAGCTGAAGAGCTCAGGGACAACACCTCGGCCCGGAGTTCAAGCCCACAACCAACAAAAGAAAATTGTATCTGTGCTGAACATT